AAGACCTCCACTTCAGAAGTCTGAAAAAAAAGCAAATGGACTGTGGAAAAGCATAGCATAAAGGACCGCAGGAAAGAGAAGTTAACTTGCAGTATCACATACTTGTGAACTTTTAAGCATGTCTCTTTGAATCAATAACTCAGACTAAAAATCAAAGGAACTATTTAGGCAAAATACTTCCTCTGATAACCAGAAACACGGCAAATGGGAGAACTCACTATTTCCATAATAATACATACACACAAATAATAGGAGAAATTATTTTCAGCCATTTATACTAACTCCCTGGCCTCAAACTGTGGACTTGTTAAAATACTAAAAATTTGTTTTCCTGTATCTATTTCTATTCAGGAATACATATTTAAGTACACATACTTTAATAGTGTAGCCTCCAAGGCTAGTTGGTTTACAATGCAACCTCCTTCAATGCTCTAACAAAGAAATGATTTACTGGAGTGCAAGAAAGTACAACTTTTTCTTCAGCAACACCTGTTGAAACCCTATTCTTCTTGTCTGTGGCTATCAATATGGGTTGCACATACACATGGACTTCAATAAGCCTGTCTAAAGCCTACGTGCTCTTTTTGACACCCTGTGAACTCAGCCCCAGCATGGATCAATAGCAGAGCCAATTGGCAAATTATCTCTGAGTTTGAGGGGACTGTGCACAGGAGCAAGTGAGCAGGGAATGGCAACACTATGATTCCTGCTGCAGCACCCAAACCCCCTGGCTTACAGTGCAGCCACTGTACAGATGCACATTTATTGTGTCACACATGCAAAGGAAAAGATTCCAAAAAAATGGTTACACCAGGAAAGAATGAGTTATGAAATAAGGATTGAACATGAAAAAGCATTGAACTAAATCTTGAAATTTTAAAGAAAAAGCAAAAAAGAAGCTTCAACTCTTATTTCTGAAGACTGTGTTGGAGAGGGTCACAAACATTGAAGTACAGAGATGCTACTGGTTTTCAATAGCCTGTAGGGCTATTCAGTCTAGGTAAAAAGATGATTTACAGGTAAGCCCAAGAAAAGAGGAACTGTTTGCTATGGGCATAAAACAAGTCCTCTGGCTCAAAAATTCTTTTGCTGAAGGAATTCTTATGATGAAAATGGATAAGTGCTTCCTGAAAAACTCCATCTCAGTCACCAAAGCTTCACTGCAGAAATTCAGGTGACTGGCTTCTGAGAAAAGGCTGAAGGAGAGCTTGGGCATTGTTATAAAGGTAGCACATAAAAAATCTTCTTCATAAAGAGGAATTTAAAAGCTGAGCTATTCAGAAACTGATAGTAGAAACAAAATATATCACAGACTAAACTCCTTTTGAAAAGAAAAGCTAAACACACTGTCTGAGCTTAGCATGTCCAGGCTGACTTTGAATCAATAAGCAACTGGTTTGGTATCAAATGGATATGTACACCAAAATCAAGGATAATGCCTTGCCCAAAGTTTCACATTTCTTACAAGGCAAACACTGTAACTGGAATGACCAAAGGCCCAGCAGCTGCTCTGCCATGGACCCATCAGCAGATGGCTTGTTTGGGTGCTTTAAATGGTGTTCTCTGCCCGACTGACAAGGTAAGAGCACACAGCCACTTTGAAGCAAAGTGCAACTTATGAGAAAAACACGCGTGACACGGGCAAATGCTCAGTAGCATTTGAGCCAGACAAAGCTGCTGGGAGAGTGCTTTTTCATCGTTTGACATCATATGAGTCCTGTGGCTGACATCCAAGCCATAGAAGAGAAGTGCTCCCATATCAAATGACAGCCAGGACCCCAGATGCTCTAAGATTTTAAGGAAGGATTGTGCACGGTGAATACTGATACAAAGGCTTAGCTTGCCTACACAACATCCAGACAGCATCCATGTTCACTTGGCAGAAACAAAGAATATTAAAAACATATTTCAGGAATATCACAGAGAAGACTAACAGTCTCACCGTGCTTCATATGGACTTACAAAGCAAAGCTGACATAAAGTCAACTACAAATAATTGACCAACATGGTCAAGTGAGTCTCTGATCCAGTTAAACAAGACAAAGAGGGAGCTGATCATGCAAATTTAAAACCTATCACAGCCAGAACTAACAAGTTCTTCAAAAGGAACTAAGCATTACGAAAACTGTCTCTTTTCTGTTGCCAAGAGGTATTTTTGCTGTTGCCGCCATGCTTGCAGCATTGCCATGGTTCCTAAAATAACATTAATAATACCTAGAGGATCCCCCTACTCTCATTTAGAAAGAAAGAACTCTAAGCCTTCACCTATGAATTGGGACCAATGTAAGCACACAGGGAAAATGGACAACACCAGAAGCTCTATGGAATCAAGCAGAAAAAATATATTTAATGGATGAAGAGAAAAAATATAATTTCTACTGGGGCAAAAAGAAATCTACTGATATAACTACTCGGTGTCAATAATAATGGAAGAAAGGTAGAGAACAACTTGAAAAGAAAGGAGAGGAAAGAGGAAAGGAATTATTTCGGGGATCAGTTCATACTATCTGCTGCTTATCAAGAACATTTTGGAGTTTAACGCTCCAAAGAAGCTATAAAACAGACATTTATCCAAATGCTCATGAACTTTTTCATACTGCTACATTATTGCTCATATGATACATCTGGTCCTCTCTTTGACTGTATTACTTGATAATTTTAAATACTGTTTCTGCACATGTCACTTCTCAATTAAGATGAAGCACTAGGAGAGGCAGGGTAGAAGCTGAGGCCCCTCCACTCACCTCTCCAAAGGGCTCTTTGCCATCTCCTCCCCAGAAACAGGAACCAGCAGCCCCCTGCTGCTGCTGGTGAATTTCAATCTAAATTAGACATACTATGATAAAGAAGGATCATAAGTGGAAGATAGGGAAGAGATGTCAGAAAATGAGGAAATCAAGTTAGTGACTGTTGTCATACCTGCATCACAGTGAAAATTCCATCAAATCTAACAACAACTGACAGGTTCTGACATGGAAAGTAGTGCCTTGGCTGATCCTTGGCTGCAGAAGGTCTGAAGACTCACAGCACTGTCAAACTGTGTAAGCAGCTTTAGAAGCACAAAGCTATCAGCATGGGGAAAAAAATCAAACTAAATCAATGCAACATTCATGGAATAATAAAAATTGAATAAAAGAAATAAAAGAGATGAGCAGCTGTGCTTGAGATGCAGGTAAAGAGACCAGCACTGTACTCTCCAATAATTCTGTGAAAGGTGCCCTAAAACTGTCAAGCCATGAGATCAGACACACCCAGACTAATACAACATGCTGCTGGGACTCAAGACAGCCTATATAGTGCAGTGGGACAGCAAGGGTATATGACTCTGGCAGCTACACGTTAAGTAGATCTGAAGAACATCGTACAAACCCAAAAGATGAAAAAAATGTCAATAATGAAGATGAAAGGCTTGTCAACACACAGGGAAAAAAACGAATGAAAAGCAGCCATTTGGGAGAGATCATAAAAAATAATGTATTTCTAGAAAGCTTCAAAAGATTTTATTTCTTTGGAACAGGCAAAAAGGGCTTTTCAAGTAGGTAAGGTGAAGGGATTAAAAAAGCATGGGAAAAAGACTTCAGCATTCTTATAATTCTATGATGTTTGTTTAACACACTGCATTGTTCATTAAACAATAACCAAATAGATCATTCCACTGAGACTGAATTGCAAAATCTGGCAAAGCTAGACTCAAACATGGATATTGTGTTTCTCATCTAGGAAAACTTTTACGCTCCGTTCAATACACTGTTTTTTGCTAAAGGAATTTAAAAAATTATAATAATCTGATCCACTATAGTGAAGACCAAGATAAATATGAGCATTTTGGTCTGTTCCCAGGAAAATCTCTGGTAAATTAAATACTTTATGAATAAAAAAAAAAAAGGAACATGCTCTGATATTAACTATTACAAAAATACTTCTTATTATTCTGGTTTTTACTTAGAGGTCTTTACAACCTAAATCTTTCTATGATTCTGTGATTTTCTAAGGTCATCGAGTCCAACCATTAACCAAGCACTTCCAAGTCCACCACTAAAAATGTTATGATCTCCGAAATATGACTATTGAAAACAAATTTTTGACACCTAAATACATTTAAAATTACCATATGTATATACAGTCCGAGGTGTTCATGATGTGACTCTCAATTTTGTTGTCCGTATGCGTAATGTCGTACATGGTGAAGAGTTTCACTGAATTAAAAAATCACTCACCACTAGTAGGCATCTGAGTCTTTTACTGCTAGTTGAGGCACTTAAATTGTGCTAAACTCCATTAAGGGCAAATATTTAACATAAAAAAAATCTAGTTTTAAGTTGTTTCTCACTTAATGGGATGTACTTATTTTGAAGAGCAAATGACACTTTGGTGGTCTAGATTTGGAGAGTAAAAATTTACTTCTGATCTATCGCCCAGCCATTGCCCTCTCTGTGGAGAATCCATCATGCCCAACTCTTTTCTGGCAACACACTCACCAGGAGAAGCCTAAATTCTAAAATAAACAAAACTCAATTCAATATGGCAGCGAAAACTTCAGCATATCCTGTTCTGATTCATGGAGGTCATCGTCACAAAACCAAAAGGAATTGCAGTCTGACACCCTTAAAAGCAACTCCTCTGTTCTACAGACTCTTGACTTGAGGGCTTTTCAAAATGCCTCAAACCCATGCTCCAGTTTTTAAGGCACATCTCTCTCTTTAAAGCAACTCTTTTGCCGCAATAAAACCGTCAACTTTTTTAGCAGCAGATAGCAGAACTCGAAATGGAAACATCTGGTGTCGCTTACGGACATATATTAAAAGAACAGATACTAGATTTCCCTGGAAAAATCAATGGTTGCTCTTCTTCATCTGCAAAGCGGGCTGCTCATCACGGCTCGATACGAGCCCGACACACAGAGTCTGCGTCTGGGTATGACAGCGAACCCTCGGGGGTCGGCGCGGTGGGCACACCGTGTCCCCCGGGGACACCGCGTCAGGGGCGTCTCTCTGCGGTACCTGAGCAGAAGCTGTTGCTGCTGATGGTCCTGCCGGAGCGGCCGGAGGAACTGGGCGGGTTGAATTCCCGGCTTTCCTCTTCTGAAAAGGGGGATTCGGAAGCTGGGGATACCTTCTGCTGCGGCCGGAGGACCAGGCGGGGGATGCGGCTGCGGGACACCTCCCTTTCCAGCTGCGTCTTCTGCTCCTGCTCGGGAAGGGACACCCCGGCGTCAGGGACCTCTCGGATGTGCCCTCCTCTTTCCATCATCGAGGCAGGGGCAGGCAAATCCCGGCCCCCCCCCGCCCCCCCAGGGCGGGGGCAAGACGAAATCTGCCTGCCCCTGCCTCTCCTCGCTCCCCTCCGCGAGAGGAGCCCCGTCCCTCCGCGGCTCCTCACCTTGCCGCTCTCCCGCAGGGGCCCCATCGCTCCTCAGTCACGGCGCGGCCGGGAACAGGCACCTGGCATGGACGAGAGGGATGCGCTGAGCCGGGCTCTGCTTTGCTTTGCTGCCGCTGCGGCGCTGGGGGTGGCGGCGCCCGCCCGGCCCCGCCGCTCCCCGCCCCGACACGTGGTGCCGCCGCCGCAGCGCCCGCGGCCGCCGCCGCTCCGCCGCCCCAAGGGCGCCGGGCAGGTGCGGGATGGGGCGCGTCCCCCCGCCCGGGCGGCAGCCGCATCCCCTCGGCACCGCTGTCGGTGGGATGCCCCGGAGGGGACCCCGCTGCCCGCCCGCCGCCTGCCCTCCGCCAGCCCCTGCTGCCGGGCCGGGCCGCGAAAGGCAGAAAGGAACGTAAACATACAGAAATGAGGGCAGGCCGAGTGCGGTCTGTGTGTGCCGCGTTAAGGTACCAAAGCAGATGCGTAACAGAGGGCAGATGTTACCAGTACAAATACGATGGATGTTATATAAGTAGCAAAATGCGTCGTCAGATTTTCCCTGCTCCTTATTCGTAGAATCACAGAATGTTAAAGGGTTGGAAGGAACCTTAAAGCTCGTCTAGTGCCAATGTCCCTGCCACTAGACCAGGTTTTTCAGGTCCTTGAACACTGCCAGGGTTGTGGCATCCACAACCTCCCCAGACAACCTGTTCCAGTGTCTCACCACTCTCACAGTAAAGAATTACTTCCTAAAGTTAAGAATTTCTTTCTATTGTTATTCAATAGGAACATGTAGAAAGAGAAAAACTTACTTGCTTCTCAAACATAAAAATGTTGATTCTCAGATAATACATGGCACAGTATGTTTAATAATAGTATTTTCTCTCTCACCTTCCATTGCAGTAGTTGTCATGACCCTCCTATTGATTAATGCACATGTAACCTTGTTCATCTGCTCCCCAGAGCATGCATTAGCAGGGCTGCAATCTGGCCTGTATGCATATGCACACAGTGGTTGAATAGGACTGCTTTTCCACAAAAAGAATGATGAAATTCTTGATGTGAAGTTCATTTGAGGTTCCACATAGATGTGTACTTACAGGACTTAGTGAGCTTGCAGATGTTATACTTTCAGCAATTGTATTTTTGGGCAAAGATTCCCTTTGCTTCCTACTGTCCTGGTTTCATCTAGGACAGAGTTAATTTCCCCATGGCACCTATAAAGGGCCCCAATTCCTGGTGGGAACTTCTGTTTGCTATTAGAGCATAAATATTAAATACTGTCTAAAAAATAATTAAGAGCAAATGTGCCTTTAATGTGTAGTGCAGAGAACATACTGGCAGTAACAGGAAAGGTGATGCGTTCATCTAGACCTCAAAGAGGAAAGAGGACACTGGTGAGTACTGACACACTGATTGTTGCATATCCAAAGAGTTATAATTACTAATTTATTAACCTGGCATCAGAATTAGATCCATTACTTATGTAGAGCTCCAAGCTATGCTCTGCCAAAAAGATGATACCATCCTCCCCTGGCAGTGTCAAGACATCTATAATTCAGAGAAGTGAGATAGTTACATCTGAAAAAAAATGCTTAAAATTCCTCTATTAAAATATGTGTGCTTAAAAAATATATTCTAAGCACTGGAATCTACCTTCCCAAGACACAAAAACGCAGGAAGAATCTTGAACCTTTCCCTACTGCTCCAAGACTGTTTCCATGGAAAATTGCAAATCACATATTTTAATCACACAAATTTGCTCTTCCGTTCAGTAGGCACCAGGGCACTTGAGACCATGGGCTTCTCCTGCGAGCATGTGCCACTTCCACCCATGGCACATGTGGGGTGGAAATTTCCCATGTACATTTGCAAAGCTCTTTTACCAGTAGTAAGAGTAAGAAGAAGCTGTGCAGCAGCACTGCCATTGCCATAGTAACTCAGCTCCGGAGCTGCTGCTGATGATTCAATTGTCAGAGCCTGTTTTATCTTTTTCCATTTCAAGCTCAAGTTTTTCCCTTGCTAAGAAACAAGATATAAGAAATGAAGTCTTCAGGCTGCCTCAGGGTTCATAATGGGATGTGATTCCCTTTGATCTCCTCTCAGCATAGAGATTTATAGCCTTATCATAAATCATAAAACAATCATTAACTTTCAAGCAAACTTTTACTCCCCCTTACAGTCATGTGTATCTAATAAATATTGAAACATTAAGTCACTTTTCAGTTTATTAAGATATTTTTACTAGTTAATCGTCAGTACTGGGAGGAACACATACTTGACATGAGCATGTGATACCACTCTTATTCCTCTCTTATGTCTTTTACAAACCAGCAGCATCTCTGTAATACCTATAAAACTAATTTTCATAACCAGTGTGTAATTCTGAACAAATCTGTATTTGCTGTGTAAAGAAAAAATGTTATACATTTATGAAGGCCTCAAAAACCCTACAGAACAGAGTGTATTCTTTGCCTTTTTCTTGCTTTACTCCCTTCTGAAAAATAACAGCTCTCCAGGAAGCCGCAGAGGGCTGCAGATTCAGCAGGAGTGCCTGGACTCCAGGAGCTGCCAGGGGAAGCTGGGCACTGCGCCAGGCCCTGGGGTTAGACCTTATGCTTTCCTGAAAGGGGAGCAAGGTATATGAAGCAGTTTTTGTTCCAGGCTTTGCTACCAAGATCTTCACTCTGCTAGAGTGCTCTTACAGAAAAAGTTGCAAAGGAGAGAGGATGGGGTGAATTTTAGAGGATCACAGAGTATGTTTTGCTGTCATCTCTGCTCCTGTTTTACTGCCACCTCTGAATCTTCTCAGCTGGAGGGGGAGTGGGGTTCTGATGCAGCAGAGTTTTGCTGATTTTGGCCAGCAGTTAGCTGTGTCCATCAGCACAGTCAGAAGGAACTCAGTGCATTGCCACTTCCACATCTGAACTGCTAAGAGAAAAGCTTTATCTAATGTTTTTGCAAAGCTTTCTGTGAAATTTAGTTTTCTAAGTTTATTTGTTCTATCTGATGGCACACTGTTTCTAGACATCTGCAAATGCTGCTTTCCAGTTTGCTTTCTTGCAGTATAGTAGTTTTGCTCTTGAGCTGTCAGAATAACAGCAGGAGAGCAGTACAGTAAAGGTCCCAACATCCTAATTAGGTATCCAAATACCTCTGTTCATAATTGGGCACTTCAGAAGAACAAGCAAAAAACCATAATGTACTCAGGACAGACTTGCCTAGAGCACAGCAGTAGGTACAAGGGTCCCTTTGCACAATTCCACACAAGTGGTTTATTCATGCTGCTAGCAGGGACCAAGTCTCAATTTTGACCTTCTCGGTGGTACAGCCTTGCATATGACTTTCTGATTCCATGAATTTTCCTTCTCTTCTGTGCAGTAGTTGAGCTTCAGCAAGAAGGATTTCACTCCTCACTTTTCTTTTGACCAGTCCCTTTACAGAGTGGAAGTAAGCAGGACTTGTAGAAGGTCAGAGGTTGTAGTCATCCCAGGTAGCAAAAGGAGTGGAACATCTACTTCTTGGTTTGTTTGTTTGGGTTTTTTTGTTTGTTTTTTTTTGTTGTTGTTGTTGTTGTTGTTTTTTCTGTGTGTGTGTGTGTGATAATTAAAAGGCTGAACAAGGATTCTTGCGCTATGTGAATTATTACTCAACAGTCACCTCATGCACCTTTGCTATTTTTATGTTGTCACCATTTGGTAGTATTACATATACTTGCAAAATTTGACTTTGTGGGGAAGTGGCATGCGTCTGCACCCCGATTTTCACCTGGAGGATGCTGGTCCAAAACCGATCTGGCTCATTGCTCAGGCCAGGACTTACAAGTTTTTGTATTACTGAAAGCACTCATGGGCATTTGGGATAAAAACCAAAGAAATATTTTGTAATCCTATGTTCATTAGGGTTAGATGGCTTTCTTGCAAAGTTATTTTGATTTGTAGAGTTTTGGTGCCTAAATCTCTCTAAATTCAGTTTCAAGTGGCTGAATTTTTCTTATTGGTTTGGCACTGGGCTTTTGCAGGTCAGTAAAGTGCAGACAATGATTATACTGATTTAGGACTGTGGGCCATGTTTTGGTTTTGAATCACATCACCCTCTGAAGTCAAAGGAATGCTGAATGAGGCAGAGGCAGAGCTGGGCTCTGTAATCCCAATACTACGTGATTTCACTAACGCAGGCACATAGCTGATAATGTTCCTGTCTGACTTAAAGAGCATCTGTACTTTGCCAGCTGAGGCAAGTTTGCTTATCAAATGTGTTGATCCTGTTTTTCTATTCAGATGGGTTGTATAATATCAGCAGATATGACTCAAATGTTACACAAATGCTAGAAAGAAGATCAGCTGGAGGTAACCATTTTCACTGCAACGGTTTACGTTAGAGGTCTTTAGAGAATTACCTGAAAAATTCTGTCATCATCTTTCAGAAATACTGGAAAATGAGGGAAAGATGAGAAGACTATGAATATCATTATAATATATAGAAAAAAGAAAAAGGGAAGCATTGCTTCTTGCTGATCTTGGGCAAAACAATAATATAATTAATTTGGGACCATGGCAACACAAATCAGAGGTTGAAAATATAACTAATAGCTATCAGGATATCTTCAAAGGAAGCATATCTTGTAAAAATTGGAGCAAATAGTAACATTTTAAAACATACAGTCAAATTCAAAGAATGACATCTGGGACAAATAATAAAGCTCTGCCATCAGGATGGGAAACTGTTTTGGAAACTAAATACCCATAGTAGCAAATAACTCAATATGTGTTCTTAGACCATGACTGTGGTTAAGAGAACTAATGTTGAAGAAATGGAATATTGAGCTGAAATAGGGGAGTGATCTTGCCTGTGTGCACAGTATAAGATGTCTGCTGGAACAGTGTGTTCAGTGCTAGTGGGAAAGAGTTCAAGGCAGATCCTTTTTTTCTGCAAGACATTTATTTAATCTGACTTCTGATAAGAGTTGTGTGATCTGTTTGTACTAAACAGATCTCTGTCAGTACTACTCAATGAAATGTAATCCAGAAAGCAAGCTAAAGCACTGCACACTCTCAGATGTTTGTGTAGCAGCCTATATATGTAGAAGGGATTTGAGCTGACTTGTCTGACTTCAGACATCTGAAGTTACTGTGTGAAATTATGAGATCTATAAAACCAGAGTCATGACAAGCAGCCTTATTCCATGCCTGTGCCCACACTGGAGATGGAGGTGCAAGGAAGGATCTGTGGCTAGCAACTGCCTGGATTTAAGCTTCTCTCCCCAGGGGTCCCAGAGCTCTGCCAAAACTCATGACTCGGCTCTGCATCCAAACAGTCTGGGAAACATGTGAAATTTGGGTTAAAGTGCAGTTTGGTTCTGCTTTTAAAATAATGTAAACAATTTAAAAAATCTCTCTAGAAACAATTACTAAACTGCCTTACTGTAATAAGCACTCAC